TACGTGTTACACCAAAACCATCGTGGTGCAGTTTCATAGATAAAGAAACTAGACTATTTGATGAGCTGGGTTAAAACTTAGCAGATACCTTTATCTTATCAAAAATAAAGTTATGGTTGTCACAATATTAATTAGACTTATAACTCTGCTAAGTAAACTCTAGGTGAAGTTGACAAGGAAAAATATCTCTAAAACTTTGAAAAAAAATCTATACAATGTATGCTAGATAATAATAAGCAAACAGGATTTTTAGGTTGTACAGAAAGAAGGTCATCAGTTCACTCTATAAAATGCTAGTTAGACCTTATTTGGAATAGTATGTTAAATTTTGGGTCACCCTATTTATGAAAGGAAGTTGAGTTGTTGGAGAAGTTTCAGAAAAAAGCTACAAGGATAATTTCACATTGGTGTGAATTTTGTGGTGGTTGGGGGGGGGGGGGTCATATGAGGACAAATTGCAATCTCTTAACATATTCACCTGAGAGAAGGGCTTGAAAGATGGAAGGGGGGAATGATGAGATTTTTAAGGTTGTATGATATCTTGAGTCCATAATCCAGATGAAATTTGTAGGCAGTGAGATTAGATAAGTTTAAAGCGATGAAAACTCATACAGGACTCCAATTAAAGTAGTGTTACAATTCCAATATATGGGATAATTTGCCTTCAGGTGTAGTAGGAGCTGAAACAGTGGAGGAGCTTGAAAGCATTTTCAATTGGGGTTGCATACAAGGGTTTCTAAATGTACTTTGAATTAGGGAGGTGATACAAAATAAGATACCCTAAATGGGCCCTTACTATCCTCAGAAATGAAACAACAAATGAAATAAAATATATAAAACTAATAAGAATAGCTATAGCAAACAACCAGATCTTATGATCACATGCTTAAACATGTGTCAAGAAATGCAAAACTGTAAAAAAATTTTTTATTTGAAATTATCATAATTTAATGAACATTTTATTACAATCAGTACAAAAAACATTCACACACTGGAATAAAAAAAAAGTCACTCACCTAAGAAAGCTTACCAAACAACTAGTAGATTACTATACATGTGCATTCATCCAATATACAATAACCAAATCAATAACTATTGAAAGTCAATTAAAACTCTAAATAAAAATAAACTGTGTAAACACTTTAAATGCACTCCATAAAAGTTAGAAATAGGTGTAATACTTTTTTCATCTAAATATAAAGTATAAGACTAACAAAAGATAGCAAAACATAAACACACACAAAAATTATTCAAACCAGTGAAAACTAAATTTGAAAGAAAACATTTTTAATTATACAGAATAAAATAAAAGATGAGAACTGTTAAAAAAATTTACAAAAACTAAAATTATCAGCTGACATGTCCTGTAAACAAAAAACGCATTTCAAACAAAGAATACATGGAGAATGGGAAAAAATAAGTAAACAAATATTTAGAATTAAATAAAAATAAAACATTGTTGCAGTTAAATCAATTCCAAAACATAATAAAAATGTTTATATACATAAAACATAACTAGAGTGGTATTAAACAAACAACTGCCAAAGAAAATATATATATATAGTCACTAAACCATTAAAGTATATCACTGAATCATTTAAACACCTATAAATATGTACACCCCAAACAGGAAAGAGAAATTACCAACCTAAAATAATGCCAATTTAAAATAACAACACAAGCTCTTATAAATACATCAACAAAATAACATAAATTAACCTAAGTATTTGTAAGAGCTTATCAGAATATTCAAATCAAATGCAAAAATAGTTAAATAAAGCTTCCTGTCAAAAACATAATCTAAAATATTACAACATTCATATATAAAATTGAAGTCAAATAAAATGTTCAAACTTTTCATATTACATGTCACAGTGTACTTTCCTTACATTTTTTCTTTATAATTCACAGTATCAAGGCTGAAAGCTACAGAAATAGTTAAAAACTAGAGAAAGTTCACATAGCTGTTTAATAATTTTTATCTCACATTAAGAGTGAGAAATTATTAAACATTCCTTATGTCAGATATATTATAATCACTTTTAATTCCCACAATCCTTTTAAAATTTCCTATAAATACAGCAATTTGTTTCTTTAAAATCATTTTATATGTTTTTGTTTCCTTTAAAGAATTTTTGTTTTTGCATAACTGTGTTTCTTGTCTTTAATCATATTAGAGCCATTCATGCTTTGATAGATCTTTAGTTATATACACACATTTTGTAAACTTGTTTAGTAGTTTTTAAGTAAGGAAAGGGTTATGTCACTGTCTTAGCAAATTGACAAAAAGAACATAGCTAATGGAATAGCAGAGAGATCTAAAATAACAGTTCATTATCTGTTCTGTACTTAACACTGAACTAGTTTTGAATATATAAACCCCAAGTGATTTTTATTCACTTTATAGTAATATTGAAACTTTGTGTTCTCATACTTAATGGAAGGGTACTTTTCCAATACACCCCCACAACTGTTACTGTTAAGCCTAAAATTTAAAAACCTATTATATTAGTTTTTATGACTAGTTTGTCTTCACATTAAATTCAATTGTAAAACAGGTTAAATACACTGTTTTATTAAATAAATACAATCTAAAAACTAGTTTATTGTCTCTTCATGTTTTAAGGATTAACTTGTTTACTTGAACACAGATCCATTAGTTTAAACTCAGCCTATAGTTAGAGGTAGGTTATAATATAAATCAGGCTAAATACACTGTATTATTAACATTACATATACATCAAAGACTAGTTATTGTCACTTCTAATAAAGTTTTATTTCTAAGTTCTATATGATTAAAGATAAACTTTATTACTTTAGTATAAAGACAAACTCGTAATAAAAAAACTAACATAATTGGTTCTCAAACATTAGGCTTTTAAACAGTAACAGTTGCTGAGGTTTAACGGAAAAGTACCAAAGAAAACTTCTGAATACAAGAATATACTTCTTTTTTGAACAAATTACTTATTTTCTAAAGAAAAAAGTACTTTGGAGCCTGTATAATATATATAACTTCATTAAAAATTAGTTGAGATTATCAATGTGTATACAGCAGTGCTCACCTTCTCAGTCGACATTTACAATTATCTTCCGGCTTTGGTGATTATTTTTTACAAATCAGCAATAAAAAATTTAAATTATTTTTTTAAAATAAAAATCATAAAACTTTGCTTAAAACTTCAAATGTAGTATTTTACTTATCCACCACTATAATATTCAATAAAATTGTCCACTTTATATGTGACAAATGCATCATTAAACTTATACAAATTCCACTGTTGTGCTTTGAAAATTGATTGATATTAATTCTTGTAACTGATGTCTGATTATTAGACTAATCATAGTTATATACTTTTTGTTTTGACAATTGTAATTACTGCTATCACCATCATGTTCTAATGTATAAACATGCTACTGGTTATTCATTCAGGTAGTTAGTGTAATTAAACAATCAGAGTACATTTTGGAGAAAAAAAATTACATGTGGTCAGTAAGCATGAACTATTTGTTTTGCCATAAACAATCAATAAAATGATGAGTTTAATTACCATAAACATCAAAGAGAGTTGATCATACTTCAGGAAGAACTACAGATACCTTCAGGATATTAAAAACTTCATTAATAAACATGGGCATACATAAAAAATTTCCAGGAAGAGTGGGGGGAGAGCAAAGTAGTGTAAAATTGTGACTTGAATAAAACATTCATATACATATGCTGAATAAATAAAGAAAGAATTATGTTTCTCATTTTCCAGGGGAGGCAAATGCTCCTTTACTCTTCAGGAAATAATTTATTCTTTTCTAAACTCCTGAGAAATGGTGGCCTTTACTAGTGCCGATGACAACTTCTTGCATGAGTCAATTGCTCTGTCAGAAAATAAAGCTATCATAACTGGATACTAGCTTGTTTTTTCCAATTCTTAAACTTTTGTCTTCTTTATCTAACTTCTACTGTCTTCAGGATGTAGCACAAAAAACTCTGAAGCCTTTATCCTATCAATCCCCTGGATAATCTTGCAAAGTATCATAAGATAACCTCTTACTGTTCTTTCTCAAGTTAATTTAAATAACCTAATGATAATAGATCTTAACTTATCCTTATATGTATCACTAAGGTAAACCTTCCATCCTCCGAGTCTTTCCAGTAACAATGAATAAGACAATATCCTTTCTCAGATAAGCATACCAAAAATTATCGCACTATTCCAACCACAAATGAGGCCTAAGCAGTGATATGTATAAGGATATTTTAACTTTTTTTTGTAAACAATTTGTATAAACACACCTTAAAATATTTTTTTGCTTTGCTACTACTATCACTGATAAAGGCAAAACGTATATGGGAAATAATATAAAAACAGCCTGAACAAAACTGCACTATTACTACTATACTAGTAGTAGTACTACTAACTTTCATGTTTTATATTTAACTATCGTATGAAACTATTTTACAATTTGCAACGTAGTTCAACTTCAACTAGTAGTACTAAAACTTACTACTAGTTCTAAATTATATTTGTAACACCAACGCAACAAATTAGTAAAGCCTTGGTTTAAGTTCTGAACTGAAGTTAGAATCTTAATTAGTAATACTTAAATTGATGTAGCTTCAACAAGTTTAACATAAAATTTTTATCTACAAGTATATGTTAAGAGTAACTATGTCAATAAAATAATATTACTAACGTAATACGTTCATGATATCAGAAAAACATGTAGGTACAATAAGTTTTGATACAAAATGATAAAAACCCTACAAGTTAACCTAACGTAAAAAGCATATACTACTTCCAACTCCAAGTTTAATCAGTATTTCATTTCAATAAGCAATAGTAATGTTACTTGGTTAATTTGTCTCGAGTCTTACTTCTACTATAAAAAGAATAAACAAAACGTGTATAAGTCCGTAATCTGACTTCATTAAAAAATGTTAAATGTTCAGAACAAAAACATATCACAATAACGAAAACTGACAGTAAGATATTTGTCTTTACCTTCTTCCGACATCTTTATTTTTCAGGCACCACTCTCGTTAGCAGGTTCTGAAAATCAACACTGAACACAAAGTATGACCCACATAACAAACTAATATCTTATTATTATTTCTACATACGCATATAAATGCGAAGCCAATTTACGTAAAATTTTGGCGAGCTTAGTACCTTCCAATATTATTACAGTATAATACGATTGTTATTATTATTCTACTTTCCATTGTATTTACTCCAATCAGTAACAATATTTACAGTAGCGCCTCTATTGGCAAAACGATACATTGTTGCCAATTATTTTAACAGTTTGTCGTTAAATTTCCGCTAAATTTATATTAAAGTCACTAGAAAAGTAGCTAGATCGATTTAATGTTACCAATAAATTATTAGTGTCATGATACCCCTAGGTAAGAAACAAGGTACTAAATTTAATAAAGGAAATAATTCCAAGCCTTGCACGTGCCCGCCCCACCCTATATTCCCACCTCCACTCCCTATGTATGATTGCTTCCTCCATCACTGGTTACCATCATATTTCGTTTTGTTTTGAGACTGTACTTTTTTCCGAAAATGAATGAAATGTGGATTTGACCCAAAAATATCAAGTTTAATTTAAATTCAAGATCATCAATCAGACCTTGCTAAAAACGTTTTTTAGCAATAATTTCTCTTTAATATACAACTATAAGCAATTAAACCATATAAACTTTAATGTTTGAAAACTTATCACAGCAAATCAAGTACCAGAAATCCTTAAATGTACCAAAATACTATGAATATACCCTTCTGCGGCAACACTTACAAAATTTCCAAGAAGTTGAATGATGAACTGTAGTCACAACTTCATAAAGTTCACTACTACAGAACGTGAAATAAACCTAACGTCACGAAATAAATGGGCCTATACTAAATTTATTCTATATCTTACTTATAAATTTTATTTATGTATCTACCATTCTAGCTTATATGGATAACATTTTTAATACTACTTTAACCTATATCTAACATAACTATTATACATGAAGTAAATAAAAAAATTAAGATTAAATTAAGTCTAGTTTCCGTAATGTTCTGTTCACGTTTTGTTTTTCTCGTTTGAATGAGTTAACTTAAAGATAAGAACATCGCAAACCACTATTTTTTGCGCGAATTATTATTTACGCAAGAAAGTGCATCAGACGCAATTTTCCAATCGTAACTTTAAGCCAAAATAAAATTTCTATAACGGTAATTAAACTTACAAACTTTTATTTTTTAATAAAAATCATAGTCAATCGTTACAATTAATTAGGTTTTTCAATAGCTTCGCTAGATTGGCAACAGTGAAACTATGATGATAAATATATAGTTGACCGCATAGGCGACAAAGATATCAAAAATTAAAGAATGGGTTAATCAATCGCCAAGTTTATTTATATTTTTATTTGAAGAGGATAACGTTTCGAGCTAGCGTTCTTCCTCAGATCATTAACAGTGCGGGAATTTATTTAAAGTTAGTTTATAACATTGATTGTGGAAACATTCGAATGCTAACAAATATTTAATGTAGAGGTTTTTATAGAAAGAATATAAAGTGATTACAAAAATTTTTGTAGAGCAATAATAACACCATTTTTAACATTTATTAAAATTACACTTAAAGTGATTTTTGTTATATGTAAATACATATCACAGTAAGCAAACTAGGTGCCACCTTTATAAATCAGTGGGTGCCACGAGGTTAGACCGCTTAGATTCAGGCTTATTTACAATACAGAAAATGTTCATTGTTGTCTAGTTTAACAGTAACATGTATTGCAGTATTAGTTCAATTAATTAGCTTTGAAAATTCTAAAAAGATGGATATTTGGTGTCTGTACTACTACTACTAACTATATAATGTTTAAGACTTAAGTATTATATTCAACAGTCTTTTATATTGATTACTTTTAACCATCAACAATTTCAAACTTTCCCTCGAGGATAATCACAGTAAATCACCTCGTCTTCAACGGTCAACTATATGACTAAATAGGTGGTAGTAGGGTCACATTTAGGGCGGACTCTCGCAAACATTATTTCTCTGTTACTATGAGCGTTCTTGACTAAACACCTGTCCCACTGAGTATAAACTGGCTTTGCATATAAGCTATGTGGATGACACAAATATCTTTACTCTAATCACGTTAAAAAACAAATTCTTAGTTTATTTACATTCTAGCACTTTAGTACAACGTTTATTTAATAGAGTAAAGAAAATGAAAATTCATCTTTTCCTGATATTAAAATCAGCAGATTAAATAACCAGTTTACAACATCTGTTTATCGTCAAAAAATTCATCTACAGGTTTAGATACTAGTTTCCACAGTTTATTACGGACTCGTTTAAACGTACTGTTGCGTCAGCGAAGTCCCATGACTAGTGTCACGCACTCGTTCTCTCGAACTTCGTGAATTGTCGGGAGATTACTAGATATAGTGTTAGTCTCGTATATTGTT